GACGCTTAACCGACTGCGCCACCCAGGCGCCCCAAGAACTTTCCTGTTTTTAAAACTATTATAAAAGAAGCAAATCAAAAGGGGGAAAAACAAAGCAGAACACTTGACAGTTTGGGACCCATTCAGTCTGGAGTTACTTTGGGTCTGTGCTTCTGCTGAATATACCCAGAAAAAAGCTTTGAGCTGCACAAGACTACTAGGCCCTTGAGCTCTACAGAAAATGCAGATGAAACTGTCTTTCTTAACAAGTCCATATGAGCTACAAAATCAGGCTGTTGCTTTAACAATTTCTAAAAGGACACGTTTTCTTATTAGGATTCACTGACGGCTGTGTAAAAGTAAAACCTACATTTCCATAGGAATTATGTGTCAAAATGCCATCTTCTCAAAGCACATTCAGAAAGATGAACATTAAGTAGGGTGATGAAGATAGAAAAAAAAAAGCATCTAATCTTCCAGTCCTAACTTGTCAGAACTCTCATTAATATTAATGCAGTGCTCTAAAATTCCACAGAGATAAAATGAAATGGTTTTACTTGTAAATAAGATTTCAGAGAAACTAAAAACAAAACAAAACAAAACAAAACAAAAAAACCCTGAAGATTCTAAATCTCCATAGCTCTAAAAAAATATAAATAATTTACTGGTTGCAACGTCTGTGAAAGAGCTTCATTTCAGTGGATAATTAAGGAGAAAAAAAATACATATAGTACTACTAAAGAAACACATTCCATTTTATACTGAAACAGATAAATAACAGTGAAATCTATTTAGTCTTCTTTAGGTGGTTAAAAAATGCTTTACAAATGAGACTTAAAACATAGAGCATGATGGGTGGATTCTTCCCAAATACAAACTATGACAGTTGAACAAATCAGCTCCTAACAAACTTGAAAAAAACTTTACTCAGTGATGCACGTTTTTAGTGGTAGATTTATGAAAACACTATTTTAAATATCCTATTGATACATATTAGGAGCATTTCCCCCACCCACCCCCCCTTTTTTAAACAAAAGCCAGATTTAGCTGAAGGATAAACCATAATTAACAGCTCAGCACCACTCAGCCAAAGCCACAGTATATTAGTCCCTAAATATTTGTACAATCAGTGAGCAGACACCCAAATAAATTATTTTAGAAGTGAAATTTAATTACACTATCTGGTTTATTCTGCAAGATCCATAAAAGCATGTTTTTAAGAGAACCAGATACTACAGAGGAAGAGTTTATTTTTTTTAATTTTTTTTTTTTAACGTTTATTTATTTTTGAGACAGGGAGAGACAGAGCATGAACAGGGGAGGGTCAGAGAGAGGGAGACACAGAATCTGAAGCAGGCTCCAGGCTCTGAGTTGTCAGCACAGAGCCTGACGTGGGGCTAGAACTCACAGACCGTGAGATCATGACCTGAGCCGAAGTTGGCCGCTTAACTGACTGAGCCACCCAGGCGCCCCATAGAGGAAGAGTTTAAATACCTAAAATTCAAGTTATATGTATAAAATACATGTTAAGTATACTGTACAGTTGAACGCATTTATGAGATATAATGTTGATATATCGATCATAAATAAGTCGAGCATAAATAAGTCACTAAAAAGAAATGAAAACGGCACGGTATGAACTACTCTGTTGTTGGACTGTAAGTATGGTTTATGACTGTGTTTTGATGGGCTCTACAATACAGACAGAAAAAAGCATCTTACGCGAAACACGTGAAGGCTGATACTGCCGCCGCACTCCCACCCGAGCTTCCTCCAGTTATGAGCCAATTCGAATCCTCATTCTCACCATGGGGCTTCTGCTTCCTCTTTTCTCTATATTGTTTCGAGTAACTCCAAGGGTTTTTAACTGGGCCAAATACACCATCTGTGCTTCCAGATCTGAGATGAAGTGAAGCAAGATATCTTAATGAAACTTTGGTTCTTTATATGAAGATTTCACCTCCTGATCATATTATTTACTTCTAACACTGTATAATCCACTGCAACTTGAATTGGTAAAGGCAAGAAGCCTGCTTAGATGTAGCTTTCATTAATCAGATGGTTGAGGAGGTGGACGATGGGAAGTAAGAGCGTGTGGGAGAGAGAAAACTAGTCTGTTAAGAAGATTTTTATCCCAGTTGATTATTCAATTCAGCTTATAATGATTTCCCTTGTAAATCCAGGTATTCCAGGTGAAGAGGGTCACAAACATTCAAAGAGTTAAACAGGAAGTCCTCTGAAGGATTCCCTCTATAACCAGACATGTTAAGACAAGCATAGTTGAAAATTAGTAACTTATTTAAAAAGTTTTGAAATAATTTCAATCTTACAGGCAAACTGCAAAAATAGAAATTATATGAAAATAACTTTATACCCTTTACCCAGCTTCACTTATTGTTAAAAAGCCACCCAATTTGATTTGTGTGACTGACACACGTTGTGTGTAACATGTACAAATCATTTCTCCCCCCACAAACCACATAAAGGTAAATTATATATATCATGGCCCTTTACTCCTAAATATTTTAGTTATGTATTCAGTGTGCATTTCCTAACACTAGGGGTGTTCCCTTATGCGGTCACAGTAGCCAATCTCAGTAAATTTAACATCCACACAATGCTTTTTATCTAACGTACTGTATGTAATCCAGTTTGGTCAGCTGATCCAGTAATGTCCTCTGCAGCATTTCCCCCTCCTAGTAAGGGATGGAGTCTAACATCAGGTACTGCATTTAGGTATCATTGTCTCATTAGCCCCTTTTTGTACTTTTTAAATCATTTGCTAGCCAATGGGCATGGAGTTATTTCTAGTTTTTGGCAATGATGAATAAAGCCACAATAAATATTGTACTGAAAGACCCTGGCCATTGCTTTCATGTCAATATACCTCTTCATCTCTTGACTAAATAGCAGGACTGAGATTGTTGGATCCTATGCTGTTTAACTTTATGAGAAACTGCCAGACTATTTTCCAAAATGGCTATACCATTTTGCATTTCCTACCAGGATTGCATGAGAAACCCAATTGCGCTGCATCCTTGTCAGCACTTGATATTGTCATTTTTAAACCATTCTGAAAGTTGTATGTATCTCCTTGTGGTTTTAATTTGCATTTCCTTAATGACTAACCATGTTCAGTATTGTTTTCATGTGTTTATTGCCAACTATATATCTGGTTTGATGAAATGTCTGCTTACATATTTTTACCCCTCCCCCCTTTTAAATTGGGTTGTTTTCTGATTTTTGAGTTGGGAAAGCTTCTGTATATACTGGATACCAGTTCTTTCTCAGATATATGTTTTGCAAATATTTTCTCCCAGGCTGTGGCTTATTTTTTCATGTGTTAACAGTGTATTTCAAAGTATAGAAGTTCCTAATTTTAGAGAAGTACAGTCTATCAGTTTTTTATTTTATGGATTGTACTTTATGTGTCCCATCTAAGAAATTTTTGCCTAACTCATGGTCACAAAGATTTTTCTCCTGCATTTTCTTCTATAAGGTTTAAGTTTTACTTTCTTTAGGCTCTTTTAATCTGGAATATTTTCACAGCATTTCTTTGTCTTTTATGATATTCATATTTTTATAGAATGTTTCTCATTTCAGACTTATCTTCTGATTCCCTGTGATTAGTTTCAGGTTTATTCTCAGCTGGAATACTGCATAGGTGATGGTGTGTTCTCAGGGAATCACATCTAGAGGTACAATGATGTCCACTTACTCTCACTGACGATGTTCATTTTGATCAGCTGTTCAAGGCAATGTCCTAATGACCTATGTTCAAGTTTACTCCTGTGGCTTAATTCATTCAACATATATTTACTGAGTGCCAAGAGATAACACCGTAAATAAGAGAGTCAAAGACTCTGCTTCTATGAAACAATGCTTTGGTGAAACACTGAATGTTTTCACTCCAAAATCAGGAACAAAGAAAGGATATCTGCTCTTATTACTTCTACTCAGTATTGTACTGAAGTCTTAACCAACACAAAAAAGAAAGAGAAATAAGAAGAAATAAAACTGTCTGTATTTGCAGATGACATGATCATCCACATAAAATATACCAAAGAATCTACAAAGATCAACTAGAACTAATAAGAGAACTTAGCAAGGGAGTGGGATACAAGCTCAATACAGGGAAATCAATTATATTTCTATGTACTAACAATAAACAATTAGAAATGGAAAAAATACCATTTTTCTATAGCATTAAAAAAATGAAATACTCGGGAATGAATCAAACACATTATGTACAAGATTTATATGCAGAAAATCATAAAAACACTGCTGAGAAAAATTAAAAATCTAATAAAGGGATAGAAATAAAGTGTTCAAGGATCAGAAGACACATATTAAGATGTCAATTCTCCCCATCTGACCTGTAAATTCAACACAATCATGATCAAAATCCAATTAAGCTTTACAGAAATCAGCAAACTGATTCTAAAACTTATATGGAAATGCAAAGCACCTAGCATATGTAAAATGATTTTGAAAAAGTTAAAGGACTCTTATTACCTAATTTCAAGGTTTACTATAAAGCTATAGTATCAAGATAACGTGATATGAAAGTAAACTGAGACAAAGATGAAGGAAATACAAGAGAAGAAAATTTCAATTTTACTTACCCCATTGCAAACTCATCTAAATTAGTTTTTCCCATCAGGACAGCTCCCTGATCCAACAACCTCTGAACTACTGTAGCATTATAAGGTGGTACATAACCTGAAAAAAATCAGTTATTTTTGTTGTAGGAGAAAAAAACATGAACATGTAAATCACATGCAAGAAACAAGATTTTAAATTGCAACTAAGCTGTCCATATTGACATGTGTTAATTATTTCTGATTTGAGTTGTAGGTAGTACTTTCTTCCCGAGGTTAGTTAATTTTAATTTTTCTACTGCTAATTTCTACATTTTCCAAAGACAGTCGGCATATTCACTATTTTTATCGTCTAAAAACATAGACTATAACAGTTCGTACTACTAAATACTGAATAATAGAGATGTACCCAATTCATCTGAAACTAATAGCACATCATTATTTTGCTCATTGTACTTGAAATGCTACATCACACAGTAATTTTTATCTATTTCCAGTCACACATAGATCTCTATTCTCATTTAAATTTCATCTAGTGTGTATTCCAGAACAATTAACAATAATATAGCCTTAGAGGAACCTGTGGCATATTCCCCAGAGACTTTCTTTTAGGGTATAGCACTGTGAATAAGCTTTTTCTAGTTCTTTTTCTTTCTAGGATCCCCAAATCTTGATAAACATGTTTCCTTTTGACCTACTAAACTGTAAAGAACAAAATTAAGCATCACTATATGCAGGTAAGTACAGTGACATAAAAGATGGAAGACTCAGGAAACACAAAACAACTAGACAATAGGTGCTAATCCTCACAGAGAGGGGTAATGACAGGCTCTTATTCCCATATTATCAATGAGTGGGAGTCAGAGGTCACTTAGTGTGTATTTGGTGGTCAGTTATTGAGTCTTCCTAAGTGGGATTTCTAAAATTTCCTAAATAGGATACATCCAATAAGCTGGCCTACCTCTCAGGAATAGTTGTGCATTCTGAAAGAGCCGAGAGTAAAAATACACCAGCATAAGTATTTCTTTTGCAACTATAACTGGTCTCAGAATACCTTGGTGCTTTAGTATCTTACCTTTTATTTAAACTGAAAAACTAGTTTTATAAAACTACTAATGCTCTGGTCAATTAAACTTTACCTTTCAGCATGTTTGATGCACATGTTGTCTCAATGCCTGATGTGCTAAAGTTGTCTTTTACTGCAACAGGAATTCCATCTAAAGCCCCGAGGGAGTGACCTGCATCAAAAAGCCAAAAGAACAGGAGCTATACATCGAGTTCAGGATATAAAGACACATTAATACTAGTTATTATGGTAACTATTAGTTTTTGGTAAAGATACTTCTTCATAAATCAAGTTTATGTTAGAAACTATTCCAGTTGGGCATTATAAAGCATCACATATCCATTAGCCTTATTTTTATTATACCTCATGGCAAGTTCTTTAAATAAGGGTATGTTTTATGTGAAAAGCCTCGCTTGCCAAATGGAGACTGCTACATCCAATTAAATTGTTTCTCTAGGGATATACCAATTAAGTATAATTCACAGTAATTTACCTTTCTTGTATCTTTTCTCTGATTCTTCAGCTTGCTTTAAGGCCACCTCTTCTGATATAGTAATGTAAGCATTTAGAAACTTGGTCTTCTTGATAAGGGAGAGACATTTTTGACAGAGCTCTACTGGAGTAATTTGGCCTTGTTTCAGCGCTGCAGAAACCTATAATGTATACAATTCAAAAACCCTTTACCGAGCCTGCAGAAGTTTCAAGTATTATAATGAGTAGGCAGATAGAATGGGGAAATATACAATTTTGAAGTGAAGCTTGGATTCAAAACCAAGAGAACGCTATACCTAGGTGGTGTACTGAATGAGGGTAACACATCGGTTAGCTTGGGTATGGGTTGGGGGACATGACGTTCATTGCCCTAGCGGAGGGCTGTTTCCAAGTCAGGTTTGTACCAACAAGAGCAGTGGTTTAGGTAAGCCATCCTGTCTAGTAGCAGTGGAGGCCTGGGGTGGGTGGAGCATGGGTTAGGGTAGATCGTGCAGAGAGCAGTTTAGCTGCAACACACACAACCCAGAGTGAAAAAAAAGAAAGAAAGAAAGAAACTGACCGGACAAGGCCCTGCAGGGGCTTATGGCTCTAGGTAAGTTCTTTATAACTATTGTAGAATTCAAGTCAGAGCCACTACAAATGGAGAGAATGTTTATAAAATATGGGTTCAAAAGCAAACTGAGAGGAAACTTCTCTGAAATCCTGGCTGGGGTGCATTAGGGAAGCTAGTAAAAGAAGTGTTAAAATAAACTGCATTACAAATGAGCAGAACCTAGATGTTTACAGTAAAGCCTGAAGTGATGACTATTTAATACTTCCTGTAGGAAGTAGTAAGTACTTACTAATTAGATAAAAGGAATGAATTATAAGTCAAAGAAGACACACCGCAGCTTTGGAGATTATATGAAAAGAGTTGGGATGGGAGCTCAGAGAGAAGGAAGATGGGCGAAGGAGTGATATTTATTATTAACCAAGAGCCAGACATAGGTGCTTTACATGCATTATTACTTCACTTAACCCTATAACAACCACATAAGTTATGTATTATTAACCTCATTTCACAAATGAAGACTGAAGCTCAGAGAGGTTAGTGATTTGTCCAAAGCCACATAGTAGTATAGGGGAGAAGTAACTTCATAATACAAGCTCCTTCACCATCTCTCTCTACATGAGTGCAAGCTTAGTTTGTCTTCCAAGTTGACTGTATTTTCAGGTGTCCTACATCCATCAAGCAACAGGAGTTTGCATTTGAGGGGAAAATCTGCAAATCATCTGCTCTCATCTGTTGAATAAATCATCAAAGCAGCGGTATTCTTAGGGCTGAGCTTAAGATTAGAAACGCAGTGGGAACAGGCCACTGAGAGGACCCCTAAGGCTGATGCACAAGAGGAGGAAAGCACTGCCCACAGGTGGCTGAGGCAGTGACTCAGGGAGGGGCGGGGGCAGGCGGGCCAAATTGTAAGAATGACAAAAATTATGTCTCACTGTCTTCTTGCCTCCCCTCAAGTCTCCTAATGCCTACTATCCTCAGATGCTTTGTGACTTGCCAACTGGTACAAGAATACAAGAGAAACCCGTTTCAGTTGTGGTTACAAGGGCAAGAAATGAGATTGTCTAGGAGCACTCATCTGAAATGCTGCTGATCTTCATTAGGACCATTTTTAGGAAATCCAGATTTGAGAAAATGAAAAAGAGAATTGGAGAAGAGAAATGAAAACAAAGATGCTAATTAACTAGAATGACCTGAGCATAAGGAGTGTGAAAATATAAACAGTGCAGCTTCCCTGGGACAAAATTGAAGGGGTCATATCTGAATATGAGATAAAATCGACCATAAAAGTTTTTGTTAAAAAAACCAAATTTGTTTTCCCTGGCACTTCTTTTCTCTAATAGAAAATAGGTGTTTCCTTGAGGCCACTGCTTCTCCTGCAGCTTTCTCAAGAGATGACTGTTTTATTAATTTTTTTCTTAAAAAAATTTTTTTTAATGTTTATTTTTGATAGATTGCGAGCAGGGGAGGGGCAGAGAGAGAGGGAGACACAGAATCCAAAGCAGGCTCCAGGCTCCCGAGCTGTCAGGACAGAGCCCAACGTGGGGCTCGAACTCATGGACTGCTGGCGCATGATGTGAGCTGAAGTCAGATGCTCAACCCACTGAGCCACCCAGGTGCCCCAAGAGATGACTGTTTTAGCTTCTACCTACTGTGGACCAGAGTCCAGAGGGGGAGGGGAGAGTGTGCAGGTAAGTATCCTCCTCATTCTTCAATGCCTTTCTCTTCCCTCTTCACTCAAAAATCCCAGCTCATCTGAAGTACAGGACTTGGAGGAGTTTTTATCACTCTTCCTGGGGTGTGAACCTACTGTCTGCCTGGTACTCCTTTTCATTCATCAAAGATTTTAGCACTTAGCTCCCTTTAGTCTACTTTACAGTGGCTCCTGTTGTTATTCTTGTTGACTTCAGGCTTCAAGTAATGTACACTGAAACCCGGCCTCTCAGTTCAACCTCATTTCTGGCAAACCCTTCCTTCACCTTGCTCAGGTCATCAACTCGTCCCAGATGACATCATTACCAAGATATGTATAACCTCCAAAACCTCAATTCTAGTTATCCTCCAACTCCTGTCCGCCCAGCTCATTCGCCCAACCATCCACACGGTCAGCCAAAAAAAGGGGACCTCAGTCCCACAGCTGCAAAGAAATCGAGTCTGCCAACAACCAATGAGGTTGAAGGAGGACCTTGAGCTTCAGATGAAACCACAGTCCTGGCCCACCCCTTGATTTCAGCCTTGTGAGACTCTTGTGAGCAGAGAACCCAGCTACTCCATTCCTGGACTCCTGACCCACAAAACTGTGAGATGATAATAAGATTATTTTAACCCAAAAAGTTTATACTAATTTGTTAGGCAGCAATAAAAAACAATACACCTTCTTAGAAAAAATAAGCGATCTTCCTCAGGAGTCACTCTTCTTAGAAACTAGGGGGAGAGAGAATTCTAAATACATATAATTTAGCAAATTTGTCCCTGTAACAAAATTAATGTTAACAATAGCACTTAATGCTAGGCATCATCCTAGATGCTTTATAGATGCTTTATATTTCTTTCTTTTTTTTTTTTTAAAGTTTATTTTTTTAGGGGCACCTGGGAGGCTCAGTCAGTTAAGCATCCAACTCAATTTCAGCTCAGGTCATGACCTCATGGTTTGGGAGACTGAACACTATGAGTGCGGAGATTCTGCTCGGGATTCTCTCTCTCTCTCTCTCTCTCTCTCTGCCCCTCCCTCGGTCGTGCTTGCCCCTTTTTCTGTCTCAAATAAATAAACATTAAAAAATATTTACTTTTTAAATTTTAATTTAATTTTTTAATGTTTATTTTTTGAGAAAGAGAAAGAGATAGAGACAACACGCGAGCAGGGGAGGGGCAGGGAGAGAGGGAGAAACAGATTCTGAAGCAGGCTCCAGGCTCTGAGCTATCAGCACAGAGCCTGACGCGGGGCTCAAACTCACAAACTGTGGGATCATGACTGGAGCTGAAGTCAGATGCTTAACGGACTGAGCCACCCAGGTGCTCCAGTTTTAAGTTAATTTTAATTCCAGTATAGTTAGCACAGCGTTATATTAGTTTCAGGTATAAAATATAATGACTCAACAATTCCATACATCAGCGGGTGCTCATCACAGCAAGAGCATCACCTATTTCCCACATCCTCCCACCCATCAATGATTTGTATTTCATTTAATCTTTATATCCACTCTGAGGGGCTGATATTATTGCCTCCATTTTACAGATAAAAAATTAAAGTTCCTGCGTGAGGTCACAAAGCTGGAAAGTAGAGTGGGGATTCAACCAAGGCCTGCTGTTGTTTCCAAAGCCCACACTCTGGACCACTATACTACTAACTTTACAGACAGCATCAGAAGTTCACTTAGAAAAAGAACTGTCTTTCAAAAATAATTGTCTTAATAAATGCTGAAGGTATAGGAGAGTCCTTGAGGCCGGAGTGTCCAGTTGACTGGTACCCATTAATACATTCCATTCATGTTTTTGTCTCCAATGTTCCAAGAAATTGTATCAAGATCACTAGCAACCTCCACATTCCTAAATCCAGCAGTCACTGCTCAGTCCTAATTGTATACAGTATTTCTCAGCAGCATTCAACTTAAGAGAGCACTCTCTTCTTGAAGCTCTTTCACTTGTGTTTCAGGACACCGAGACTTGGTTTCCCTCTTGCCTTACCTACCATTCTTTCACATCTCTTTTGCTGGCTCTGCTTCCTATTGCTGACCTCTAAATGTTGGAAAGTTTTAGGCCTTCTTCTATTTTTGTGCTCAGCTCCCTGGGTGTTCTTATCTGTCTACATACTTTAATTATCTTCTATACTCTGGTCAATTTATATTGTCATACCTAGCTGCTTTCCTGATCTCCAAAACTCCTATATCCGCCTGCTTAACCAACATCTCCACTTGCATATCCAGCAGGCATCTCCAAATTAACATGCCCAGAAGTCTTGATAACTTTCTCCTTCCAAATATGCTTCCTAAGAGTCTTTTCTGTATGGGGGTCCTCAAAAAACTAAAAACAGAAGTACCATGTGATCCAGCAATTCCATTTCTGGGTATTTATCCAAAGAAACGAAAACACTAATTTGAAAAGATATATGCACCCTTATGTTCATTGCACATTATTCACAATAGCCAAAACATGGAAGCAACCAAGGTGTCCATTGATGGATGAATGGATAAAGGAGATGTGGTGTGTGTGTATGTGTATATACACACACACACGCATATATATGTGTGTGTATATATATATATGTATATATATACATACACACTTCATTTAATATATACCTAATATATGGTTACCTAATAGTCCATTATATATATATTATATATATTCTACACCTAAGTGAAATCCTACGGTATTTGTCTTTCTATTGTCACAAATGGTAAGATAAAAAGAACAAAATCTTGCCATTTGTGACAACAGAGAAAGACAAATACCGTATGACTTCACTTATATGTGGAATCTAAAAAACAAAACAAAACTCGTAGATGCAGAGAAGAGACAGATGGATGCCAGGCGTGAGGGGTTAGGGGATGGGCAAAATGGGAGAAAGGGGTCAAGAGGTAAACTTCCAGTCATAAAATAAATGTCATGGGGATATAATGTACAGCATGGTGACTATAGTCAACAATATTGTACTGCATATTATGTAACTTTATATGATGACAGGGAAAAACTAGACTTATTGTGATCAATTTGCAGTGTATACAAATACCAAATTATGTTGTACACCTGCAACAAATATAACGTGATATGTCAACTATACCTCAAAAAAAAAGTGGGAAAAAAAATCTTTCCCATTTTTTTTTAATGTTTATTTACTTTTGAGAGGGAGACAGAGCATGAGGGGAGGAGGGGCAAAAAGAGAGGGAGACAGAATCTGAAGCAGGTTCCAGACTCCGAGCTGTCAGCACAGAGCCTGACACAGGGCTCGAACTCATCAACCGCAAAATCATGACCTGAGCCGAAGTTGGATGCTTAACTGACTGAGCCACCCAGGCACCAAGTCTTTCCGATCTTGCTGTTACCATCTTCCCAACTGCCCAGGCCAAAACTTTAAGCATCCTCCTTCATTCTTCTCTTTCCCTCAAACTCTGTATCCAATCCATCAGCAACTAACTTCAAGAAAAACACCCGTTTCACATTACCTCTACAGCCACCCCATCTGTGCTGCCATTATCTCTTGCCAATGCAACAGCCTTCTAACTGGTCTTTCTGCTTCCTCACTTGCTTTCTTGTAGACCATATCTTTAGGAATAGCCTTTAGGAGCTTTTCCTTACCATGGCCTAAGAAGTTGTCCATGATCTGGCTCCTACTTACCTCTCTAACCTCAATCTCCCACTATTCTCCTCTTCATTCACATCTCTCCAGGCACACTGGCCTTCTTGCAATTCCCGAACATGTCAAGCTTGCTCTTGCTGCAGACTCTTTGCACTTACTGTTCCATCTGGCTGGAATACTATTCCTCCAGACCCTCCCAGGGCTCACCCTTCATATCCTTCAGGTCTCTTTAAAATCTACCCAGGCAGTCAGAGAAACCTTTCCTAACCACTCCAAGCCATCTGGCTCCACCCCCACCCCTACTACTTCTCACACTGTAGCCTGCTTAGTCTTTCTTCATATTACTTATACTATCTGCGATTATATTTACTTAAAAAAATAAAAACTTATTTAATGCCTGTTTCCCCATAAAAATGCAGGCTTCATGAGTGCAGGAACTTCTGTTTGCCTTCAATGCTAATCCCCAACGACTGGAACACAGAGGTGTTCACTAAATGTTAATTGAATGAGTAACTGAGTTGTTTAAAATTTGGAATCTGTTTTCCCATAGAACAATTAAGGGTTCTTAGGCAGACCCCCAAGAAGCCTCTTGAATATATAATTAATAACTTTAGGATTAGTAATATTAGCCTGGTGTCTGGCTCCTAGAAACCGTGGGATCATGCCACAAAGGGGGAAGGTAAAAGTGAGACTCCTCTTTCCTGAATGTACCTGCATAAAACTTACAAATAGTTTTATCTCCTGTTTGGCATGTTACCTCCTTTGAGTGCCTCCTCTCAGGGCTCCTGTTACTCTAAGCCTTACGTAGGTCCCCAACATTGCCTCAAAACTCTATTATAGTTCCCAGCTCCTCCCCCGAATTTCCTCCCCAGCAAATTTTCCCTTTCTTCAATTGATTATAGCAACTATGTGAGGGAGAGAAATTTTATTGAACTATTGTAATTCACAACAATGGGTGAATAAATCATTCGACCCTCCCAGGCGTCTTTACATATTTAAAAGAGAATGTGTACTAAGTTAATTAATTTCTAATTGGTAGAATTTGGGACATCAGTACAATGATGTAGAAAAAACATGGAGTGGACAGAAGATACTTTTGGGGTGGGAAAATAACTACCAGATAATGTTTTGTTTTCATAATTTTATTTTTTTAAATTTTTAAATGTTTATTTATTTTTGAGAGGGGGGAGAGGCAGAGAGAGGGAGACAAAGGATCCAAAGCAGGCTCTGCACTGAGAGTGGAAGCCCTATGCGAGGCCTGAACTCATAAGCTGCAGGATCACGACCTGAGCCAAAGTCAGATGCTTAACTGATTAAGCCACGAAGGTGCCTCTGTACAGAAATATATAGTAGAGACCACGTGTAATATAAGATGGTAAAACACTAATGCACTTTGGGTAAGGGCTATTTATTATTTAATGCCTGTCATTTTTGTTATTGTAATTTACAGCTTTCTAAAAGGCTACCGCATGGACAGATAAAAAGATTTCCCAGGTGAAAATACAACAGGAAAATGGAAGGCAGGGTAGGGCCTAAACCCCTACTTATTAGCAGATTCACCTGGAGCCCTGGTTAAACCATATACTCTGGGCCCCAAATCACAGAGCTCCCAAAGTGGGACACAGCTGTGGTTCTAACAAGAGCCTGACAGGATTCTTATATGAGTGGGCCTGCAGACAGTTGCCAAGTTTGAGAGATACTGGGCCAGAAAGCAAGGAGATCTGAAGTCTTAACAGCAGAGAGGAAGCAAAGGAAACAGATTCCAGAGGTAAATTCAAAATAGAATTAACAGGGCTTAGTGATTTATTGGATATGACAGATGAGGAAGAATGTTAAGGGCAACTGGGATAACAGCTGTGCCATTAAAAAGAGAATATTAAGAATTCAGAAATCAGGTTTTGATTTGTTTTTTAAGGTGGAGGTTGAGAAGACGTGGTCCTGTTACAATGATGAAGTCAACTTTCCTTAAAGTAAGTTGAGGTTGTTATGGGGCATTTTGAAGAGATGTCCAGAAGGCATTTACAAACATAGCCTAGAGTATAAAACTGAGCTCCAGGAAATGGAAGACACGGGTGAGAGAATCATTGCTATCTTACTAATAGTTGAAGCCTAAAGAATCTATCAAGGAAGTGGGGACGGGGCGGGGCGGGGGGGGGACTAAAAATTACTCGTTTGTATTTTGCAAAGTACAGATTTCACGGGCTTCTTAAGCGATAACTGCATTAGATAAGTGTAGGGAACCGAAGAGGGACTAAAGTGGACCAGCAAAGCCCATCCACTAGGGGCCTGACCCAAGCTTTTAGCAAACGTCTAGTTGAAAGAAGCCAGGGTACACTTCCACCGCACCGTTCCGTGCTGCGTAAGCCTCCCCTGCTGAGGTCGTAACTCCAGAACGGGTATAGAGAGTACAGGTGAATGGCCCGAAGGTCGGAAGCCCCCACCCAGTTCCAGGAAAGGAGACGGCCGAGGCTGACCAAGATGCGTGGTCAGACCCCGGGGCTCCTTGTCCACGGATTCCGCGAATCTTTCTAACCTCCCTGGGCCCTCAACAGCCAGTTCCACTCACTTCTTGGAGGGTCCGGCCCAGCATGGTCCTCGTGCCCAGCCTGCCACCACAGGGACCAGGTGACAAGGAGGAATAAAAAAGGTCAACACCCGCGCCTGTATTACATGGGCGCAGCCATCTTTGGCCGTCACTGACCGTTTCAACATCGAGTACTTAGATTGGTCGAATTGCAGCCCGCGGAAATTATCTTTGCACGTGATTGGTTGGCGCCGCAAAGCAACTCCTGCTGCGAAGGAGAGAGGGTCGTAAGGAGACTCGGGGCTAGGGTCGCGGAGGGAGTCGGGGAGTCTCAGGTTCTTGGTAGCGTGTGGTAATAGAGCGGGGTTTGCTTGTCCTGCCGAGGGCTCTCGGGACAGGGCTGGCTTCTAGGGGTTTTGTATTTTTTCAAAGGGGAGGTGTAAGGAGGGAAGAGAATGACAGAATACTGACTGGAACGCTAATTGGAGATTTTCAAATGGGAAGAGCAGAATAATTCCATATTCTTCTTCCTTCAATTGCGGCATTAGGCAGGCTGACTTCTATTTTGAATTCTCAACTGAAATCAGCCAGTGTGTTTGGCAGATATTGACCTAATTTAGGGGTTAGAGTTTGAGCCAATTTAAATGCATTTTACTTAGGGCCCACAATACAACCACTGTTTACGATGGAACTTCTGCTGAAAACCTGTGTACTTAAAAGAAATGCATGTACTGCGGTTTGCTTCTGGAGAAGCCATGCTATACAAAAGCCTTCAGTTAAAAAGATTAGTACTACCTCTCCAAGGAGCACCGTCATGCCTGCTTGGGTGATAGATAAATACGGAAAGAACGAGGTGCTTCGATTTACTCAGAACATGATGATACCTGTCATACACTATCCAAATGAAGTTATTATCAAAGTTCACGCCGCGAGTGTAAATCCTATAGATGTTAATATGAGAAGTAAGTTTTCGGAAGACATTCCACCTTCCCTTTTTCTTTCCTTTTTTTTTTTTTTTTTTTTTTTTCTCCAGAATTTCATCAGGGGTCAGTTTTAAAAGATGTTATTTGACTACAGCTCTTTGGTTAATACAAAGGAATTGTTTGGGTTTTTGACAGTATCTCAGCACATATTATTTCTCAGGTTTTTGAAATTGCAGTGTTCATGGTATACTTCAGTCTTCTACAAAATATAAGCAAATATATGTTTGAAATTTTTCCATGCCTCTTTACAGTGAGGATTGGGATTTGAGCTAATTTGGGGTCCACAGCTAACTTTTTGGTATATCATCCGGGGAACTTTGTGTATTCTGAGGGCCACTGCAGGTTTTGGAGGTATGATTATGTTTTCACATCAGTTCAGAATTTGCATTTTTATAATAATTCTCTGCTCTCTCACTATTCTCGTCTGTCTTTATTGGTCCAGTGGACAAAACAGAACAGGTTGCCAGGATTTGGACACAGTACTTCATTTCTGCTGTTGGATTTTTGCTCTCGCTCTTTAAAATACCCTTTGCTGGGGCGCCTGGGTGGCGCAGTCGGTTGAGCGTCCGACTTCAGCCAGGTCACCATCTCGCGGTCCGTGAGTTAGAGCCCCGCGTCAGGCTCTGGGCTGATGGCTCAGAGCCTGGAGCCTGTTTCCGATTCTGTGTCTCCCTCTCTCTCTGCCCCGCCCCCGTTCATGCTCTGTCTCGCTCTGTCCGAAAAATAAATAAATGTTGAAAAAAAAATTTTTTTTTAAATACCCTTTCCTGTATGCTTCATCCTAAATGGGAATGTTACCATCTTAATTTCAGCTGAGGCATATTGCCAAAGTTTGGAAAGCACTATATTCCTTAAAATTATGTGTGCTTTGCAATTATTATAGTGCCAAAAAGATTGATTACCCTTTGTGAATTTAACTTTTGGAAAATAATGACAAAAAGATTGCTTGCGGGAACTCCTCCTGTCTTCTGAAAACATAAAAATCTCTTGAGATGATTAGTTAACCTCCATGTTCTAAATAAGCTGCCATATGCAGTTTATTTTAACCATGAGTCTGTGTTTTGAAGGCCTTGTGTGCAACATAGATTGCCTCATAACAGTTACTGTATGTGAACTGTGTGTGATTAGTTCAATTTCTTGGTTCATAGAAACCAATTACAAAGTCAGCATTAATGATAGAATGAATCATTTTGTGGAATTTATAGAGAAAGATGAAAGTGTTGAGACTGACATCTTTTCATTTCTTCCTCCTATTTTCCAGGAGCTGTGTGATAGATTAGGATAGCCATTCTCAAGCTTTTTGGTCTTGAGATCTCTTTAGCCTGTTAATAATTAAAATGGGCTTTTGTTTATATGAGTTATAGCTGTCAGTGTTTACCTTATTAGAAATTAGAAGAGAAAATTTTAAATTTTCATTTAAAAATGCAGTGAACTTTTGTGTTGACATTACAAAATTTAAATTAGGGCAGAAATATAAAATGACATAAAATGAGAGACCAGTCCATATGTGAAGCATTGGAAAAGGTGGTGGTTGATAGAGTGTAGGGTCTACTTCAAAGTGCTTACAATGAAAAATAACTAGTTTCCAAAATAAGGAAAAAAATTGAGTAAGAAGGATAGCATTGTTTAACACGTTTGCTTATCTCTGTGCCTTCTGGTTTAATAAGACAGGTGGATTTTCATATGAACGGCTGTATTCAATCTGTTGCAATACATCATTTGAAGTTAGTGAAGAAAATCCAGCCTCCTGCAGGTAGTTGAAAGGAAAGGAGTTAGACTCCACAGATCTTGGGGATGTGAAAACTTGGAGAACTGCTGGATTTGGGAAATAAAGTACACTTTCACAGTCTAGGTTTTTTTGTTGTTTTTTAAAGATTTTATTTTTAAGTAATCTTCACACCCAACATGAGATTCAAACTCACAACTCTGAGGTCAAGGGTCACATGCTCTACTGACTGAGCCAGCCTGGTGCCCTCTTGGTCTTTAGATCTTTTGACTCCAATTTTTAAAGTTGATATTTTTAACTCAATGAATATATCTAGACCTGTGCTGTCCAGTATAGTAACGACTAGTCACAGGCGGGTGGTGAGCAACCGAGGTGTGGCTAATCTGAATTCAGATGTGCAGTTAGTGTAAAACGCACACTGATATCAAAGACTTAGTAAAAAAAAGAATGTTGGGGTGCCTGCGTGGCTCAGTCGGTTAAGCCTCCGAGTTCAGCTCAGGTCACGCTCTCCCAGTTTGTGAGGTCAAGCCCTGCATCAGGCTCTGTGCTGACAGTTCAGAGCCTGGAGCCTGCCTCTGCGATTCTCTCTGCTCCTCCCCTCTCCCCCCTTGCGCGCGCGCGCTCTCTCTCTCTCTCTTTCTCTTTCTCTCTCAAAAATAAACATTAAGAATTTTTAATTTTTTTTTTAACATTTATTTATGTTTGAGACAGAGAGAGACAGAGCATGAACGGGGGAGGGTCAGAGAGAGAGGGAGACACAGAATTGGAAGCAGGCTCCAGGCTCTGAGCTGTCAGCACAGAGCCCGACGCGGGGCTCGAACTCACGGACCGTGAGATCATGACCTGAGCCGAAGTCGGCTGCCCAACCGACTGAGCCACCCAGGCGCCCCAACATTAAGAATTTTTAAAAAAAAGAATGTGAAATGTCCCAACAATTTTATATTGATTACATATTGACCTGATAATATTTTGACTATATTAAGTAAAATATGAAAATTATTTTTGTTTGTTCATTTTTAGTGCCTACTAGGACATTTTGAATTAATGTGACTTGCATTGTATTTCTATCGGACAGTACCAATCTAGACAATGTGAGGAATAGCTATTACACATTTCTTTGTGGGCAGGGGGTTTGAGGAAATACTTAGATTCAAAAAGTGTTTGTAGCTAGAAACTATTAAGGGAGAATTGAAATGTCTTTACTATGATTGTCCCATGAAATCCACATTTGTATTCTTTTTGTTTGTTCTGAAGAGTTGCTACTAGTTGGAAATAGTGTTTCACTTTATTCATTTACATAGGGTATAAAGATAATAGTTTTTATAGGCTATGCCTTTAAGTGGAAGGTTTATACCCAGTGATCCGTATGTTTTGTCATCCCCTTTGATTATAAATCCTTTGAAGGTAGATCTCATGTTCCCTGTCAACTACTACCTGTTTTAGTGCTTCACATATGTAGTTGTCATTCAGTCATTATTTTTGTGTCATTTTATATTTTCATTTTAACTTAAGGTTGTACACTAAAATTAGTGGTGTTCTAACCTTGAGTACTTTGTACATTTTGTCTTCATTTCAACCTGTTAACTTTTCATTTCTTTGAATGCACATGGACAATTTGTATTGTGTATGTTTTGATTTCAGTAGGTTGACTAGATCGGGACTTTCTTGGCTGCTATTTAATAATGTAATGTTGTGACACATTTTACTTGTATATAGTATTCTTGAGACATCTTAGTTTTATATAACTTAACCAAGTAATATTATTTGTAAGTTACCATGTTTCCTGCTCATGAATCCTTTTTTTTTTTTTTTTTTTTTTTTTTTTTTTTTTTTTTTTTTTTTTTTTTTTTTTTTTGTGGGGTGGGGGGTGCGGAATGTGTGATTGTTGTTGCAGAAGATTGCTGAAATGGTAGCTTGGGGAAATAAAATAATGAGTACTAGATTATAAACTGTAGGAAGCACTTGTTTCCCTTGACAAGAATGCAAGGACCTGTCTGTTTTGAAAGATGAAGGCAGGCTGTTTTTCTGGAGATAGCCACTTTTATTGGACATAAAATCATAAATCCTGTAAATGGCTAAATAAATGCAAAAATATATATAGCCAACAGAATCATCCCAACAAAGTTTGATTTCCTTAGATGGGATTAAAGTCACTGAAACTGATGACAGATTAGGATTTTTCACATCATCCCAATTCTTTCTTTTTTTTAATTTATTTTTAATTTTTTTAATTTACATCCAAATTAGTTAGCATATAGTGCAACAATATTTCAGGGGTAGATTCCTTAATGCCCCTTACCCATTTAGCCCATCCCCCCTCCCATAACCCCTCCAGTAACTGTTCTTTCTCCATATTTAAGAGTCTCTTCTGTTGTGTCCCCCTCCCTGTTTTTATATTATTTTTGTTTCCCTTCCCTATGTTCATCTGTTTTGTCTCTTAAAGTCCTCATATGAGTGAAGTCATATGATTTTTGTCTTTCTCTGACTAATTTCACTTAGCATAGTACCCTTTAGTTCCATCCATGCAGTTGCAAATGGCAAAATTTCATTCTTTTTGATTGCTGAGTAATACTCCATTGTATATACCACATCTTCTTTATTCATCCATTGATGGACATTTGTGCTCTTTCCATGCTTTGGCTATTGTTGATAGTGATGGTATAAATATTGGGGTGCATGTGTTCCTTCGAAACAGCATACCTGTATCCCTTGGATAAATGCCTAGTAGTGCAATTGCTGGGTCGTAGGGTAGTTCTATTTTTAATTTTTTGAGGA